AGGTATGGCCAATCAGGTGGATAAAGAAAATCTCATTGTTTTAATTTGAATTTCTCTGATCATAGGGTTGAACCTTTCAGTTTTCTTTTGTTCATATACCTTGTGTATTCTTCTACTGATTTTTTTCTATATTTCTTACTAATTTATAAATTTGAAATCTTTTATAGTAATTTGTGTTTTCTCTCTTTTTTTCTTTTTTTGAGATGGAGTTTCCCTCTTGTTGCCCAGGCTGGAGTAGAGTGCAGTGGCATGATCTTGGCTCACCGGAAACCTCCGCCTTCCGGGTTCAAGCAGTTCTCCTGCCTCAGCCTCCCGAGTAGCTGGGATTACAGGCATGCACCAACACACCTGGCTAATTTTGTATTTTTAATATAGACAGGGTTTCTCCACATTGATCAGGCCGAGCTCGAACTCCTGACCTCAGGTGATCCACCAGCCTCCCAAGGTGCTGGGATTACAGGCATGAGCCACAGGCATGCTTACTGGCCATGTTAGTGTCATCTTTTGTGAAATGACTGCTCAGATCTTTTCCCCCATTTTTCTATTACGTTGTCTTGCTCATATTGATTTTAGAAGTATTTTATATATTCTGGTTATAGTTGCTTTAAAAGTTTGATATGTTGTCAATATTTTCTTCTATCTGATTTGCTTTTTTTTTCTTTTTGCATAGCTGTCTCTTTTGATTAATTGACGTTCTTAAGATGGTACAGTTTATTTCAGTCTTCTTTATGGTTAATGCTTTTGTGTCTTGCTTTAAAAAAACCTTTGCTTGTGAAAATAGTTACCTGTTATCTTCTAGAAGTTCTGTTGTTTTTACTCATCACATTTTAACCTACAATTCATCTGGAATTGATTTTCACATATTGTGTGAGATTGAAGTCAAGTTTTTCCCATATTTAAACCCTTTTAATCAGCACAGCTTATTGAGACTGTACTTCCCTCACTCCTCATCTGTGAAATTTTTATTTATTTATTTATTTTGAGACGGAGTCTTCCTCTGTTGCCCAGGCTGGAGTGCAGTGGCACGATCTTGGCTCACAGCAAACTCCACCTCCTAGGTTCAAGCAATTATTCTGTCTCAGCCTCCCGAGTAGCTGGAACTACAGATGCCTGCTACCACGCCCAGCTAATTTTTGTATTTTTAGTAGAGACAGAGTTTTACCATATTGGTCAAGCTGGTCTCAAACTCCTGACCTCAGGGTGATCCACCCACCTCGGCCTCCCAAAGTGCTGGGATTATAGGCATAAGCCACCGTGCCTGGCTGGCTGTGAAACTTTTAAAAAACAGGCATCCATGTTTGTGGGTCTGTTTCTAGACTGTAATTTTTTTCTATTGGTCTTTCAATTTATTATTATTATTGTTATTATTATTATTATTATTATTTGAGACAGAGTCTTGGACTCTCACCCGGCTGCAGTGCAGTGGTGCAATCTCAGCTCACTGCAACCACTGCCTCTCAAGTTCAAGTGATTCTTCTGCCTCAGCCTCCTGAGTAGCTTGGTTTACAGGCATGCGCCACCACGCTCAGCTAATTTTTGTATTTTTAGTAGATACGGGGTTTCACCTTGTTGGTCAGGCTGGTCTCAAACTCCTGACCTCGTGATCTGCTCACCTTGGCCTCTCAAAGTGCTGGGATTACAGGAGTCAATTTATTATTTCACCAATATCACATTATCTTAAATTACTCTATAATAAATTCTTATATCCACTAGTATGTTAGTTTTCTATTGCTTCATTATAAGTTATCACAAATTTTGCCACAAAACAACAAATTTATTACCTCAGGTTCTATGCATCAGGAGTCTGGGAATGGATTAGTTAGGTCATATGCTCAGGCATAAGGCTGCAACCAAGATACTGCCTGAGACACTAATCTTAATGGAGGCTCAGAGGCCCCCGGCTGCATGCACACGTGGCAGAGTTCATTTCCCGTAAATGGGAACCCATAATGGTTTGCTTCTTCTTAGAGGCCAGTAGGAACTTTTCTCTGATACTTTACCTTCTTCTTAAGGACTCACCTGATTGGGTAAGGCCCACCAAGACAATTTTTCTTTTGATCAACTCAAACTGATTGACGTATCTTAATTATAACTACAAAGTCCATTTGCCATACAATGGAGCCACAAGTCTTTCCCACACTAAAGAGGGGAGATTATATAAAGATGCAGGTCATTGAGGGTCATCTTAGAATTCTGCCAACCACAATTAGTGTGAGTTCACACACTCTTGTTCTTCCCTAAGACTGCCTTGGCCATTCTTGGTGGTTTAAAAAAAATTACTTTTAATTTACAAAATTTTGCCTCCATTCTTTTCTTTTTTTTTAAGACAGAGTCTCATTCTGTCGCCTAGGCTGGAGTGCAGTGGTGCAATCTCAGCTCACGGGAACCTCTGCCTCCCGGGTTCAAGCGACTCTCCTGCCTCAGCCTCCCGAGTAGCTGGGGTTACAGGTGCGCACCACCATACCCGGGTAATCTTTTGTATTTTTAGTAGAGACAGGGTTTCACTTTGTTAACCAGGATAATCTCTATCTCCTGACCTCATGATCTGCCTGCCTCGGCCTCCCAAAGTGCTAGGATTACAGGCGTGAGCCACCACACCTGGCCTTTTGCACCTCCATTTTATGGTAATGAGAACATTCTTGGTTCATTGAATTTTTTTTTTTTTTGAAGATGGAGTCTCTCTCTGTTGCCAGAGGCTGGAGTGCAGTGGCATGATCTTGATTCAGTGCAACACTTGCCTCCTGGGGTCAAGGGATTCTCCTGCCTCAGCCTCCTGAGTAGCTGGGACTACAGGTGTATGCCACCACCCCCAGTTAATCTTTGTATTTTTAGTAAAGGCAGGATTTCACCATGCTGGCCAGGATGGTCTCAATCTTGACTTCATGATCTGCCTGCCTTGGCCTCCCAAAGCGCCGGGATAACAGGCCTAAGCCACCGTGCCTAGTCAGTTCTTTGAATTTCTGTGTATAAGCTTGATAATCAACTTGTCAATTTCCACAAAAATATTTGCTAAGCTTTTGATTGAGATTATCTTAGCTTTATAGGCCAATTTAGGGAGAATTGAGAATTTTGTAATATTGTGTTGTCCAATCCTTGAATATAATTTGTCCTTTTATTTTTAAAGATATTCTTTGTCTTTTAAAAGATATTCTTTTGTTTTAATTGAGAATACTTTATAATTTTCTATGTAATTGTCTTAGAAATATTTTGTTCATGTTTTTGATGGCACTGTAGATGATACTTTAAAACAATTCGTTGCTGGTATATAGAAATCCATTTGAATTTTTTTTTTTTTTTTTTGAGACAGAGTTTCGCCCTTGTTGCCCAGGCTGGAGTACAGTGGTGAAATCTCGACTCATTGCAACCTCCACCTCCCAGGTTCAAGTGATTCTCCTGCCTTAGCCTCCCGAGTAGCTGGGATTACAGGCATGTGCCACCACACCCGGCTAATTTTGTATTTTTAGTAGAGATGGGTTTTCTCCATGTTGGTCAGGCTGGTCTCAAAGTCCTGACCTCAGGTGATATGCCTGCCTTGACCTTCTAAAGTGCTGGGTTTACAAGTGTGAGTCACCATGCCTGGCCAAAATCCACTTGATTTTTATACATTGATCTTGTATCCAAACATTTACTGAACTCACAATATTTTGTAGATTCCCTTGCATGTTCATGCAGAATTATGACATCTACAGATATTGATAGCTTTATTTTCTTCTAATTTTTATAACTTTTTATATTCTTTTCTTGCCTTATTCCACTCACTTTTACACTCTGATTTATTTTTTTCCCTATTTTCCAGTTCTCAGTGTATGCCATGAGCATTTAGCAGCTGTTTGTGTTGCTAACCTGAGAATGGTACTCACAGCAGTCATCTCTTAGCTGGATGAGACAGTCCACTGGATTAAAGAAGAAAATATTCAAATGCCTACCTACATATATTATAATTAAGAAAATAGTGAAATTTAATACATAGATTAGCAATATGAGTTTATAAATCATAAATAAATAAAAAGGTTACCCAGGTTAGGGCCAGGTGTGGTGGTTCATGCCTGTAATGCCAGCACTTTGGGAGGCTGAGGTGGGCGGATCACCTGAGGTTGGGAGTTCGAGACCAGCCTGACCAGCATGGAGAAACCCTATCTCTACTGAAAATACAAAATTAGCCAGGTGTGGTGGCACATACCTGTAATCCCAGCTACTCAGGAGGCTGAGGCAGGAGGATCACTTGAACCCAGGAGGCGGAGGTTGCAGTGAGCCGAAATTGTGCCATTGCACTCCAGCCTGGGCAACAAGAGTGAAACTCCATTTCAAAAAACAAAGCAGAAGGTTACCCAGGATTGAAAAATGGCCAAATATTTTGGATACCCCTAATTCTATAGGAGCAAATCCAAAATTACTCGGTAACATTCCTGAATACCTCTATAGCTCTTTATCTTATCAGAGTTCCAAATAATACTCTTTTATGTGCTAATTGTTATTCTTTTAACTACATATGATAGCTGTATCCATTCTTATTCTGTTGTCTGCGTTCATGAATAACACTCTAGTTGTTTAAGAATTAAAACCTTTACCTCCTCAATGAAACCTAACCAAATAGCAGAAGTAGAACATTTCTTCCCCTTTGTAAGCTTAGATATCTTTTCACATCTTTTCACTATAGTACCTGTAACATCTTATTGTAGTTATGTGATTATATGTTTGCATCTGTTCATCAGATTATATTTTCCTTGAAAATAGTAACATTGTTTTAGTTGTCTTCAAATTCCCCCAAAGTACAATTCTTTGTGACACATAGGCACATGGTGGGACACCAATAACTTATCACAATGGTGAGGAATATCTTTTATGATTTCTCCTTCTCCAACCAAGTACAGTACAAAAGTAGACATCCCATAACACATTTTCTGATTAACTGTGAGTAGTGAACATTGTAATAGTTCTCATACAGCATTTATGTTTTTAAATTCTGATCACTTGAATTTGAATGTAATGTACTGTTTCAGGAATCCTTGTCATTTGAGGATGTAACTATGGGCTTCACCCAGGAGGAATGGCAGCATCTGGACCCTGCTCAGAGGACCCTACACAGAGATGTGATGCTAGAGAACGACAGCCCCATCATCTCAGTAGGTAGGAACTGTTTTTCATGTCAACTCCTAGTATGTACATCTTTTCTTAGTTGCTGAAACTTGTAGTAATTTTGTTGAGGTTAATGACATTGAACTTGAGATTCAGGGTATTAAGCAGAACTGTTTAGGGTTCTATAATGTTGCTGTTTGTCTTACTTTTTCCACACATGGTTGAAACTGGCTTCTGAAGTTTCATTTTCTCCCTCCTTCAGAGGCTCTGAAGTACATTAGCTTCACCCAGTTTCCATTTCATTTTCCCATTCACAGGATATTGCATCCCTAAACCAGAAGTGATCTTCAAATTGGAACAAGGAGAGCAGCCATGGATATTAGAGGAAGAGCTCCCAGGCCAGAAATACCCAGGTAAGTTAGCATGTATTAAGCAGAAAGGATACCAGTGACATGGTATCAATTCTTCTAATTCTCAAGAGTTTTCTTGGCCAGGCATGGTGGCTTATGCCTGTAATCCTAATACTTTGGGAGACTGAGGAGGGTGGATCACCTGAGGTCAGGAGTTTGAGACCAGCCTCGCCAACATGGTGAAACCCTGTCTCTACAAAATTACAAAAATTAGCCAGGCATGATGGCGGGTGCCTGTAATACCAGCTATTCGGGAGGCTGAGGCGGGAGAATTGCTTCAACTGGGGAGGCAGAGGTTGCAGTGAGCTAAGATCGTACCACTGCACTCCAGCCTGGGCGACACAGCGAGACTCTGTCTCAAAGAAAAAGAAGAGTTTGCTCATATGTTCATTCCTACTATGTGTCACTCAAGTTTCAGGTGCTGGAAATAGAGTAGTGAACTGAATTTTATCCATGATCTCATGGAGCTTACCTTCTGATTGGGAGAAAAAGATAAGGAACAAAAAATGACAACACTACCACACATGCACAAATATGCCAAGTGGGCATGTAAAATAGTAAGGAAATTAAAGAAGGTTAAGAGTGATGGAGTGTTAAACTTTAGAAAGGAGAATTGGGAAGGGCTTTTGGATGCTGTGAACTTTAATGATACGAGGGTGGGATTGAGGGGAGTCTTGATAGCAGGAGAAGCATCAAGTTCAGGGCACTGTGACGGAAGTGTGTGTGGTTTTGAGGACACACAAATATCAGTGTAGATTGACAGGAATGAGTGAGGCAAGAGTGGTGTGAGTTGATACTGGAGCAGTAATGGGAGCCCAAATTATATAGGGCCATATAGGCCGTGATAAGGA